CTTAGATTCACATGTCTAAACCTCACTAAGTCTATGCGCACGACTTTACTCTACCTTAGACTCTACCGATTTAATGACATTGTGCTAGCGTCGGTTTTTTCTTGGATCGCATTTGAAGTTATTGTTATTATTTTTCTCTCGTAACTTTGTAATGCGGAGTTTGTTGACCCTGTCCATTCAGTCTCCTGATTTCTATTTTAAATGACAGGTACTGGTGAGTGTTGGAGGTGATCATTTACGAGTAGAGGCGAATATGGTTATTTATGAGAATAAATATTTCTGGTATCATTGAAAAGTTGAAGATATAAAATATAAAAATACTTGTTTGATTTTGAGCAAAGTAGAGTTTATAGAAAGTCGTCTGAGTAGTGGTGACACTTCAGTTCCACGTATTTCAGTCGACATACAGTTTTTACGCTGTATTTCGAAGGGTGAGATACGGCAGTGAAATTACAGGGCATGTAGACCTTAGCTCACAGGCAAAGATACCTTAGTTCACCAAAATAACGTACACAAAAGAAACACAGCCATCACACTGAGTCACCATAACCTACATTTTTCTCATAATATATTCTGTTGGTTATTGCAAACATACACACAGACGCAGCACGAATTTATATATGTAATATTTCCAAAACTATTATAAAATATACATTGTTTACTAGCGTTCGTTTCAATATTAGTTTGACGTATTAAGTTATGACAATTACTTTAACAAATAGAACTTCCAATAAAACAAACACAGCAAATTAATGACTACTTACCCACACATAAATGATAATAAATATATTGAATGAATCCTAGTTATACCTACATAAAATTTACAATCAGCTGGAAAACCACGGGTGCAATTAACGATTTAGCAATGAATGGTCTCTTAGTATTTAATTCATGTACTAATATTGCATAATGGGTATTTCTTGATGAATGAATGGTTATGAAAATCCCGCGGTTTAGTACGAGTACGTAGGAGAATCATTATTTTAACATACCTAATAATAATAATAATCCAGGACAATTTACACACTGCCATCTAGTCACAACCACGCTAAGTAGAGTATTATGGGTACTAGATAACAGCAATAAATACTTTCGATGCATTTTTTTCGTAAATACATGAAAAGCACTGACCGATACAAACAATCATACTCTTGAATACAAAAGTTCGCACAGTGTAGGGAATAAAACTCGCGTCCATCTAAAGTAAAGCGGTGTGCTAAACCGCTAGACCATTGAGGCCGTCAGTATGTTTTTTAAAAAGATGTAGGTACTCATATTTTGGTTAATAATAATACTAGAGGTTACGTCTCTAATATATGTAGTTAGGAGAAAAGTAGGTTCGGGTAGCTAATCCTAAAACTTGGAAATAAATTAAAAGGAATTAGTAATGTAATCTGATATCACAGACAGACACAGAGTGACGATGGAGGTGTAGTATTTTGTGATGGCTTAATAATACAATAAATAAAAAAACAAAGCACGTAATAACTTTAGATCACTAGAGGGCTGATCGAAACGGCAGGCAAGGTGTTCCATCAGTTCATAAGTGGACGGTTCCGATTGTTCGGACCCTCGATCAGGGTTGCCAAGCTTGGAACACTTAGCCTTGTACGAAATGGAAAATCTGGTATATTAGTTCAATTTAACTTTCTAAATATAATAAAAAATACTTTGATGTACTTTGTTGTACATCAAAGCAATTTGACAGATTTTCATTGGTAAAATTCTCGTACAGATTTGTAAGAGAATAAAAATGTCCTCGTAGGATTCTAGGATGGTTGGCAACCCTGCCCCCAATAACTCACTCCGACTACCACCCGCGTCATCACGTCCTAGTGTACACTACGTCACTGTTTGTAACCGCATTAGAAATGACAAAATCTATCTAGTCAAGTAGGTACTTGACTCAAGTAAAACGGCAAGAGAGACAATAATTATTTACAGTAATATATTACGAAATATTCCACACTATCAATTTTTTATAGCAGTAGGGCTTAAAAGTAAGTTAAGTTTTCCTGATTTCAAAGAGAGTCTTCTAAATGACGGGGATTTACAGACTAAAACAATATTATTATTATATATTATGTTTTCATCGGTTTTGCCATCAAAAAATATTAATAATAAACAGTAGTTGTTATTTTATAGGAAATATAATTATTCATAGTTAGAAAAAATCTTAATTTTTTAGTCAAGCCTCTGTGAAATATATAAATAATAAATTCTGTTGAAAAATATTAAAAAAATAAATAAACATAATAGCTGTCTTTTGTATTGAATATGCAAACAAATTATTTATGTATAATCCAGTCCTTATGACGATTGGTTTTAGGTTTATTTGTTTATGATTCATTGGGATTTGTGCTTAAACGTAATAACTGAATCATAGTTATTCCTAAAGACCGATATTGTATCTCAATTGGCAATTTATATTGAGCAAAATATATTAACTATTTTATTGTTAATGTTGAAAGATTCTATTAATGTTTATAATGGGCTCGTATTCATGGTCGGAATCATTATGAATGAAGTATATTATTTATTTAGTCGTAACTGGTTTAATATTTTCTTTATGGCTACCTTTTATACAAAGTTTAATACACGTTTTACGAAAAATTACTTCCTTTTAATTTGAAATTTTTAAGACCATCTTAGGGACATATCATATTTGTGGTTATTATTAACTACTACTGTGGTTTATGTTATAAATGCAAAAGTATCTATTGTATGCAGTTTAATCATTCATTATGTAAGTTGGCATATAGGAATTCCTACATTAGGGATAGGAAAAGATATAGCGTACTTTTCGTGCCTGTCAATTAACTTCACACGAATGAAGGTAGTTTTTTGGTAACTGGAATAGCAAACAAGGTGGTGAACCACTTGATTGATAGAGATAGGTAGTCGTTACAAAGTATCTACATAGCAACGGCCGTGGTACCTTTTATGTGTAACGTCACTGTCATATCTCACGATCGATCCCCGTCAAATTCAAACGGAGATACAACTCAAATTGAAATACAACTTAGAGAAACTGTAAAGGACAACTTTATACAAAGCCGTTGAGATGTTACATATAAATTGGATTTTGGATTAATATTCCAATTCCAAACGAGCTAGTAAGCGGAGTTGACATGAGGAGTCGCAAGCGCAAGCTATAAAGCTATAATATGCGTAATGACCGTCGCGTCATTACTCGCGCAGATTACCGCGCCGCGCTGATGAAAGTCGCTTCTGGGATTGCCTTGTAAACGCCCCACAGCTTAGACTGAGCTTCGGAGTCAGTAGAGTGGAACTACTTTTTATTCACGCATAATGGTCAATTCTAGATTTGTGTGACAAAGAAATGAAGATGAAGAAAAGAACAAGATTACTCAGTAACAACATTGCCTAAGGAACTTTATTAATATATTCGAGCGATGTTTAATATCGTGGAAAACATATAAAGAATAATGAAACAACCTTGATCATGTGGTCGAGTTTACACACATGATTTTTCAACAATTTGTGAATATTTGACTAAATATATCATTTTAAAATCAAAGTTAAAATAATTTATTCACCTGAAAGTTATTTATTACTATCATTCACATTATATATTTATACATATATTAATATTATATATTCTTTTGGAAATAATGTTATTATATTACGGCTTTGTTTAATTAACTAATAATTGTTATTATATTTTAACAGAAATCGTATAGCTATCATTCATCTCTACATTGCCTGATTTACAACGTGTTCTGGTTTAACAACAATAGGAATTAAAGTGGATTTTTCCTGAGGATTCAGGAGTGTCAGCGAGATGTCCATTATATCTTTATAAACATCAACATGCCTACATTTTCCATCAGGTGGGTCATTCCGCAGATAAGATAATGTCATTCATAGATACTATTATTGTATAAAACAAACTTAATATGCATGCCAAACAGTTTTCATCAGGTGTTTCAGTGATGTTGCTATTGTATATAAAAATATTTATGCGGACTGTCTGTGAGATTATTTGGCGGTGGCGTTACATTACAAGTCGTCGGCAAATAAGGCGGCAGTTAGAGGGCCGTGATTGTGCGTCGAGCGGTGCGGTGGTAATGAGCGCGGATATTAATAAATTTAGCAGCCCCACCGTTTACAGTTATTTAGGACATAATTACGTCAAGAAAATTAGCTATCTGCCGGTTGTTGTTTATCATGATTTATATATAGTAGTACAAACTATTAACCGCGACTTCGTTTGCAAACTATCGTCCCTTTTTCATCCACTTCCAAATTATTTGTTGGGATAGAAGATAGCCTATAGTCTCGTAATACAGTCTATCTCCATGACAAGTTTCATCAAGATCCTTTCAACCGTTTAGTCGTGAAAAGGTAACATAAAAAACAGATAAGTAAATATTATAAATATGAAGGCATGTATAATACTTTCACAGTCACATAATATTTGTGTGGTTTGTTACAAATGTTGTTGTTAAGTTTGTTTATTTTAGTCTTCAAATTGTTTGGTTAAAAATATTTTTTTAAATAACGGTTTTTATTCGAAGTAATATATCTAATTCTATAGTGTCATGTTAACTTCAGTTAGGAATATAGTTTAATGTCAAAAACACTGGAAAAAAACTAATTTCTAAGTCTTTCTGATCTCATACTATATAATGCACGTGAGCTCTAAGCAGAGATCTCTAGAAATTGTTATTGGATAGAAGATGCGATATTTTGTGAGTATGGGAGAATGGATGTTTTTAGTCTCTAACGAAAAATTCATATGGAATAAAATACCAAATACATTTAGCCTCCTTTGGAAAGTACACATCTACTATATCCTGTGGAAATAATAACCTTCGCTTCTAAGAATATCCTACAGTTTTTGTCCTTGACGGGCCTAGGTAGCACACTCTAAAAAAAGGCGAGCGCAGTAGATGTTCAGGTCTAAGCGCCATAGTCCAAACCTCTTAATTAAAAAAATATTCTTTAGTACAACTAGTCTTCTATAAGAAACTTACCTCCCACAGGCAGGTTGGCATTGGTCTTATATTCTCTTTCATCGTGCGACAGCGACCGTATACTTCTGACCGGCGAACTTTTGTATTCCATATCTCTAAGCGCCGAGTCTATCAGTGTCCGCTGGAAACCAAAACTCCGGATCGGAGACACGTTCGTACCTGGTACAAAAGAACATACTACTATATAAGGTGCAAATGAATATAGACGGTGCAAAATAGGTATATATGAATTGAGTCGTTTGTCGTTTAATATAGTCTTTGTCCATTCAATTGGAGATAGGCGTGAGGATGTATATGTATGTAAATAGTGCTCAATAATTTAACATATTCACGGCAATATATTACGAGGAACCATTTTAATAAAATGAAACGTTTATTGTGACTGCCTTTAGATTAATATACATTCATACAATCAATCGGTCGATAGTAGAAAGTTTTGCGAATGAAATACTATTTTAAATATAAATAATTAAGCATTTGAATATTATCATTGTGTTGGTTTGATGTCGGTTTTTATGGATGAGAAAGTTATTATACTACTACTTAAATATCTTTGTATATTTTGAACACTAGTGCGGTTAGACGGTCTCTGTGGCCTAGCAGAGTAGCACACTGAAGATCGCGGGTTCGATTCTCACACGAACTATGTGTGCATTTATTGTCTAGTACCTACTCGTATGAAATAAATTCAGATTATTTTGGTACAAGATGGCGCTGTGTAAATTGCCTTGGCTTGTTACTATTATTATTATTTCGCCTAATATTTTATATGCTTTCCAATTCATATTTTTTTAAAACAGATTAATAAATGTAGTACGTAATTAAAAATTAGCAAAGTCTTCTCAGTCATGTTATATCTACAATGACAATGTAATGAACCCAATACGCAAATTACAATCAATCATTGACAGAGATCAATAGGACAGGCCTCAATCGTCCGTAATAAATAATTGGTTTGTAATAATCACCTATTATGGTTACTGTTTTGTTAGATTTGATGGCCTATATTCTTTCATTATATTAGCTATATATTGGAACTTGGAAGAGGAAGTAGTTACAAAAAAAAAAAGTATCATGTCCTCGCGTCATCTTACCTTTCTTTTTTGAACAAATATATAATGAAAAAATATATAACCCATAATATAAGCTATCTTATTAAATGTAATTAAAATCCGCAATTTAGCCGTGAAAAATATAGACAAACAGACACTTTGTGATTCATAATATTAGTATGGATTACAATTTAATTCATTAGAATATTTAATTTACTTTATTCAAGGATGACTTGTATAAAAGTATAAAGCTTATTGTTCTAGAATTTGTCTTTCTAAAAGAACAACTGAAATGAAAAGTAAGTATTTCTCAAAAGGAATACATATATCGATATCTAGTTATGCAACGGGTATTCATAGATTACAGCAACCATTTACCATCACATGGATCTAATGCTTTACCACAACGGCAGGGTAAAAAAACTTACATAATTTTTTTGGTTTTAATTTATTATCAACCCATTAGAAATAGTTGCTTAATTAAATTTATTATAAATAAGAAATTTCATTTAAGGGGATAAGGGGCATTTGTTCTGGGAAATACAAGAGCGAATACATACAATAAACCTACCTAATTAGATTTAAAAATTATTGAAATATTTTACTAAATGTAGTATGTAGTAATTTTTTCCCATACTTTTCTAGAATGACGTTTCCTGTTTAACATTACATGTATAACTATGTGTCAATCGTCTTATTAAAGATGAAAGGTTGTTTTTTTTTAGTCCCAACAAATTGGCCGGTGTTAGACCCAACGAACGGTCTTTGTTTGAGGGGCGCCGCCACAATTATTTGGGCACCCGTAGATATCCGACAAAAAATATGCACATAATTAGTTTATGAGTTTATACAATACAAAATGTATCGATACCGCAATTATGTTGTGAAATCGACGCTAACAAAACACGGAGTTAATTTTTGGTATATAGTGCAGTGTCTAGTGATGTGTCTTATTAAAAAATGTCGATGTTACTATATTTTATGAATTTTTATTTAGATTTTTAGATTATATATAATTTTGTAATTATTTTTTTAAATTCGAAACAATACTTATATGCTAATTTCTGTAAAACCAAATTTAAATTGATAGTGGTCATAGATATATGGTTATAAATGTTGTTTGTATTCAATACATAACATAACATCTTCGCTCGACGAGGACTTCGTAGAAGGACCTGAATTCTACTTTATTCTTTCTAAATTATATTCACTTAAACTCATAATATAAAACTTTATTGATAAATTGATTATTATTTTACTAATTAAAAATAATTAGCTTTCTCGTAACTAGCGTCTCTAAAGAATAAATATACTCTTATATATTTTTTATTTTATTAATAGTTTTATTTAATTAGTAGTTCTATGACACTATTTTATAGTGTATTCGATAAGTTATTATTAATAGAGTATGTAGTTAAAATATATTATTACTATCAGTGCCCGGGTTTTACCCGGGTGAAATTTGTAGCTTATGTGTTATTCTGATGTACAAGCAATATTTAATTGAAGTTTCCATAAAATCTGTTCAGTAGTTTTTACGTGAGAGTAACAAAAATCCATCTATACTTACAAACTTTCGAGTTTATAATATTTTATTATGAAGATATTATTTTTTAATTGGGTATTTCATCGATACTCGATATCTGTGATTGTACAACTCAAATGAGACCCTCAGAGACTGGGAAGCGGCTTACACCGGGGCACGTACAAATTAATTCTATTTACTAAAACTTTTAAGTCCCGGCGCACGCGAGATCTTCCTTTCTTGTCCAGCGGAGTTTGGGGCTTATTCGTTAAGTACGTACTCGCTTTTGTTTGTCCTTTCTATCTACTCTTTGTTTAATATCTGTACATTAAGCTGGATTTGCTGCTGTTATTCTTGTAATAAGTATTTTAATTGAAAAGTACAAGCTATAGTATTAATTATGAGGTGTACTTTAGCGTTTCATTTTTTTAGAACTTTTACCACCATATCTCATTACATCAATTTAATTAAATTGTTTAAAGATATATAAGTATGTATGTATATAATGTAGTAATCATTACTCAGTAGTTCCTTATTTTTAATATCGATTTTATTATTCTCCTCTATAAACACCATAGTATATTTATGTTTTAACTAGATATAATTTGTCATTATTTTGTGTTTACTTTACATTTAAGTTATTTACGAAAAGCAACAGATAATTAGAAGTACTTGTTATTTAGATTTTGATGCCATATTTAATTTTTATATTACAATAATATAATAGAAACAATTAAATTTATGGCAATTCTCATCATTTAAATATAGTACTTCAAGTATGAATTAACATTTTATGAATCATGTAATAACATACAATAATTAGGTTATCGAATGGAAGGTATAAAACGTATTGAAGTTATTATATTATATATATGTTAGTAAAGTTAAACAATGTAAATAGTAGTAGGTATATTAGAATTTATAAATTCCCAAATGCACATTGAGATCATCCTGTATATAACTATTTTGTATAACATATGCTATAATAACCAATATATAAATGAGAAAGTCAGTCTGCATTATATTTTATTGTCTTAGCGGCTTAACGAATCGTCATGAAATTTGTCATACAATGTAGTATTTGTCATGCAAAATGAAACACAACAAAAATGATTAATTAATGTTAGAAATGAGAACCTCTTCTTTCTTAGATCTGGATTCTATCTTGGACTGTGTCCATGTGATCAATCCTAATTGGGATAAAAATTATGTATTTAGTTCTAAAAGAGAAGAATGTAGGCTATATTCTTTTCTTTTAGAAGGAAATAAATGCCAAATTTCAGGCAGATTGGTTAATATTCACTATAGTGATAAATAACACTACGGCCCATCTGAAGGGTAAATTATTACCATAGTGGTAATAGTGGTAATGGTAACCCAAATACTAGAAATGTCACGTCCGCTTCGATGTTAAAACATAACAAACAAATGTATTAATATTACAGAGAGTAAACATTTTATTTCGTGTATAATATACTCGTATATAGGCATCTATGTATTTCATGTAATTATTATTTACTATTTCCGCGATTTCGTCCGCGTAAAGTTTAATGTTTTCTTTTTATAAAAATAAATAACCTTTCTAAAATATTATAACATTAGCAAACTAAGACCCGTTAAAATCTGTACAACCGTTTCAAAACCAAACAGGCAGACTTTTAAAAAGTTTCCTTTTAAAATTATTTATTTTATACAAGTAGCGTATATACTTTCGTATGCTGTTAATTTGAAATGCCAAACAGACATTTTAATTATTATTAACTCAAAAAATACCTGACCGATTGGAAAACCTTTTTTACTAATATAAAGCTAAATTCCTCGCGGGCAGCGCCGCGCCGTATAGCTAGTGTATTACAAAAATTGCAAAAGTAAGTTAGTATTATGTATAAATTATATAATATGCAATGGCAGTCGCTTTGATCGGTGCGGGGATCACAAAGAGTGATCCTCAGGAGCAGTTGTGTTGTGTGCGTGAGTGCAACTTATTACCGATATAATTTCACTATTGTTTGCCGCCGGCTCCGTGCCACTGCCACTCCATATGGCGTAACGTGTTTTTAAGTCAATTTCGTCGATAGTTCGAGTTCCTTTTGAACAGTTTAGTTTCGCGTGACTGGACAAAAATGGCGGAGGACGGATGTTTTTATTTCGCTAATTAATGTTCCTTGAATAAATATGAGAATGTCGTAACACAAAACGATGGCCTTGTTTTTTTTCTTAATTTTTGGGAATGCACCTGTTTCAATTATGAATAGTTATGTAATAATTTTGTTGAACCTTTTTTATGTTTATAGAGTTTAAAATAAATTTATTACAAAACACAATGCCAGTTCCGTGGTGCTTCCATTCCTGAAGACTTTCAAGACTCCGTATTCTCTAATTTTATTGCCATATAGAAATACTCCTCAAACCTGAATACAGCCTACAATGTAGCTGCTTAATGGCGGAAAAGATGAGACAGAGGGACCGCAGAATACTTTGTATAAATGAACCACAGTTTTGTTAAGTATAAATTCTTTGCTGGTATAACCATTTCAACTCTACAACATGTAAATAACAGTAGGTACCTATGTAAGTACCAGTCTTTTAATTTTACTAGTAACGCGTTCTAATTTCGCGCGGGTGATCATAACTTTGTGAGTTTTTACATACATAATATAAAAAATTATGGGAAAAAATATACTTACAGTGTACAGAATATACGGACAATTAGAATAGATTTTTTTAATGAAATAAATGCCAACAGGGACTTACTTTATTTATAACAAAATTCGCTACCTCTATCTTTTTTTATAATATTAGTAACGAATATGTATAGATACATATCTACTTCATTTTATGTAATAATATAATATATATAAAACAGAACTAAAGTTTAATTTTACTATAAATTGTCATTCACTAAATTAGTTCCGTGGGAAGAAAATATTATCTATTAGTGATATCACAACCACAGTGTAACAAGTGTATACCTACCGTGCAGTGTCGAGTATAAAATTATGCGATAATAATAGATGTAACAATAATAACAATACCTAGCAATGTTTTAAATATATAAAATTATCTTTTTAAAGTTGTTTATGACAATTTCATGGAGTAAGCTGAGTAATTTGAGAACAAAATTGCTTTGCTCTTTGATTTTATCACTCATCTCGTGAATATCGAGTGTTACAGAGCAATGGATCGTTATCCTCTAAATTAAACGATGAATGGATACGTATAAAATTTTGATGAACAAATACACACATAAAGGTGCACATGGCGGATTTCAGGCATTTACTCCCATTTAACCATAAGGTAAACAGAGATTGAGGTGAACGGTGCATTATCAAAATTAACTATGTGAAAGAAAAAGACGTATTTAATAAATTTTGGTTCTCATAATAGTGTATTAGTAATATAAGGCACACTTACTAGTTTTAGATCGTGGTTCCCGCGGTCCATCGACGGTCACTTTGATTGCTTTTTGGTATGTAGCTACTTGAGGTGGATTTGTTGATATTGTTATTGTTAAAGCAAAACTTTTCCCTGAAACAAATAAAGCATCCTCATAAAAAATTGTATGCAAACCTAAATATGATTGTTTAACATGAATATTTGTGATTATAAAATATATCTATAATACGTATTGGATTGTGATTAAAGAACACAAGAAGCTCCATTGCTAGCAATGTTGCTACATTGTCTGTCAACCTGACATGGTTGTCAGGTCAGCATTCACGAGGTTCCCCTTGGTAACTATTCTGTGGAGAAATTATAACCATAATAGGTTAACTGACGAGACTTCATAAACCGGGGTGAGTATCATTTTCCACTTCCATCATGGTTTCCATCATAGATAGTAGAGAATGCCATATGGCATTAAGCTCGCCAAATTGTAAATTTAAAAATGCAATAAAAGAATAAAAACAGCGTTTTGCAATAACAGCTAAAAACAACATCAATAAATAATTGATCAGATAGTAATTAATATGACCCTGTAAATAATTACCTACCGATAACATGGGTTGCACTGTTTAATAATTAAGTTACCCAGTTAATCAATACCATTAAATATAATTAATAACTGTACATTACCCCCAAACTAGGCTTCATATGAGAATATTCCCTAACAACACGAATGGAAAATAGCGAGCTTTTTGGGAGGGCGATTTGTGGTCAGCAGTAATGAATGCACCGATAAATACCGAATAAAATTACAGTTAAAATGAGTGGATTAACATGTCTAATGCAGATAATTCGCATGTACTGAGCACTCGATTTGGATTAAATGACTGATTTCGAACAGTTTTACCCGTGGGTTTAGCGAGATGTGTTTAGATTTTCCATATGTAGTTCTATAGAAAGTTGTTGTTAGTAGGTACAAATTCTGTTTAGAATAATTTCAAGTCGCCTAGATTCTAGGGTTTAATAAAGTTGTGACAAGGAATTTCAGGGCACTTATAAGCTTTTTGTTAATATACAATAAAATATGTATATTGTATATATACTATAGTATAGTTTTATACGTGTTTTGGTCGCCTGGTTAAACTTATGAATATTTATACATTGAAGGAATATTTATACTAATTAATAAAACAATTCAAGTCATTTTAAAGTAATAATTGATATTTAAATTACTTATTATTGTTTCAATTTTATAGAATTATACAAATATGTTATGTTAATGCCTATGTATATGTGATTCTTATAAATAGTTCAGTTTGTGTCGCATACAAATATAATAGTTGATTTCATTATTAATTCTCATTCCAATATATTTTTCGACTTTTATTACGCTAGGGCATCTCAATGTCGCTCTTTCTTTCTAACAAAGTATAGCGTGATCCGTGAGTTTCCAGTTTCAATACGGAAACAAATCATCATAAAACGCTGCGAGCTAAACTCATGTCTCGAATATATATGAAATATTGCTTTTAAAATCGCTAACCTTAATGCATTTCGCATGATCACTCATCAACAGTTTAGGACCTAACACAATACGCGTGGGGCTATAAAACATAACATTGTATCGCAACGATCTTCTCCCTAGAGGTGTTGAGAGAGCCGCGTGAAATATTCAATTATTGTGCTCAGGCGCAGGTGGGCTGAGGGTAGGGAGGGAACGGCGGCCATCTTGATTTACGACAGAGCGTAAATCCTCAGTGACATTTGTGAGTAAGGCGACTCGCATTCTGACACTATGCGACATGTTTTTCAGGAAAATCATTTGTGGTTTCTTGAGCATTGCTGCGTAGATATCTAGCGTATGCGGCAAAGTAGGTTTTTGAGATTCGATGTAATGTAAGTACATTTTCTCTACCAAATTAGGACGACGAGAGATCCGATCAGTGGTTTTTAATATTGTATTGTTGGTGAGCTAGGGTATATAAACAAGTACTATTATATACTTACTTACTTGAAACGTGTGAACGATTTTAATGTTATGTTCAATCTGTATCTCTCATTGGAAGACAACTATACTTATATAATTGTACAAAACGAGTGAATGAAATGTTATAACAATTGTTTGTTTATTGTATTTATTAATTAATAAAAATACACAAATAAAAGTCCCTTATATTTACAAGGGTAAACTATTTTTAGGTATAAAATATTCGCAAATAGATGGCCTACGAAGTTATCGATTGAATTCACGAAGACGACTGCTTGATACCACACAAAATTGTCTGATATTGTAAGGTACTCTATCTGATCTATTAACTTTTGAAGTTTTATGCTGTAAGAGGGTAAAGCTAAAATAGTTCTACTACTTGGTATGGAGATATAATATTACTATATACATAATTACTTAGGAATGACTAACGAAGTATTATATATATTTTATAGACTTCTGATGTGCTTGATCATACGAAAGTTAAAAAAGTACCAGTTTTTCTTTCATTTAAGAAAAACTGGCAGTAGACCCGATTGCTACTCGTTTAAAAAATAAGTATAGATAACTATCATAAGAGTTAATACTTAGGATAAGTCGGTGATAATTTAAATTGTCAACATTAATTCAAATTAAGTTCGCAATAATAATTCCAAACGTCACTGTATGGCGGACTTTAATAGGAACATAGAATACTCAACAAGTGTATTCACGCGTACTGATACTAGAGACGTATAGAGAAAAAATAATAAAAAGCGACGTTAGAGACGATATACGATTATGACCGCTACATAAAATGATTTGGTCACATTCTGGTCATGCCGTTTATGAGTCGACCACTCGCTCCTAATTATGTGGTCAATTTGATGACATGCTCGAGACGAGGCTCTCTCTCGGCTTAATACGACCAGCGGTACATTTTGTTTCACAATGCTCGAATGGAGAGCGTTAGAATTGTTTTGCGTAATTGGTGATTTGTGATGTGACGTAAAAAATATTAGGTATAATTTTATAACAACTGCCGGTGTAGTAGGAGCCGGAGTGGGCGTGACTGCTGATACGTCTAAGTCGGTCTAAAGATAAGTTATGTCATACAAAAATGTTTACCAACTCAATACAACAGTTATCTTTTTCGATTCGTCCTAGGCATTTATCGAAGAAAATGTAGCAGGTAATGAACTTACTACTTTATAAAAGGAACGTGTTATCCATTAAATATAAATTAATGGTCAATAAATCGTTAAGTTTATGGGACCGACCGACTTTAGCAAGAAATTTTTAAATTACACATACAATTCTATTTGATTATTTTGATTAACAGACAAATTTAAATTTAACAAAGCCATATGATAATGTAAATTAGACTAGTAATAGTTCACTATTCTTTAATAAGTAAGTCTGAATTCACTACAAAAATATTTCCTGAGAAGGTTAATTTAATATTATCATCGAGCAAAATGTGCTCTAAATATCGCATTCACATATCCAAAGTAACAATCTAATGAAAGTATATTCTTACATATAGTTCATTTCAGAATCGATTAATATACTAACTTATTGTATCGTGGTATGAGCAACCTCCGAAACTGGTGCACGCCACTGGCCCAGAAAGCTGTCTTTTCTAATCAAATCACATTACCGCCTCAGTGTTTTGATGACCACGTCACAACCAATGCCAGTTTACACTACAGCTATCATGTTACATATTATTATCCAAGTAAAAATGAATACCACATGCTCTTCACCACTGTATTAATTGTACATAATAAACGAAATTAAAAGTGTCAACAAAAACCGGTTGGTTTGCTACTATTTAATTAATTAATGTTGTTGATATATTAATGAACAGTCACTATAATATTGCTTCAAACACTGTTTATAATTTTTTCACAGTTATTTTATTTACTTCAATTTCACTAATATTCATGGTATAATCAAAACTCTGCTTACATAGAAGCTGTTTAGCTGCTGACAGAAATGAGTCAGACTTATAAAATAATCTAGTAAGCTCTATTGTTCTAATAATAATAATCTAGTAAAATTATTTCATAATGTTTTAAGCCGTATGTACTCACATTTAATTATGAACATGAAACCTGTTTGTATTTGCTGATCAATTAGTTGCATATTAAAACAAAATTATAATTAAATTTACAGTAACATAATATGCAGTATAGCTTGAATTTGGGTCTTGAATTGATAATATAAAGTTACTAAAATGAGCAATGTAATTTTTTCCACATTTGTATCACATTAGTCAGGTATGTCAAAGAATGGTAATAATTGTTGTCTGCATTTGTTACTTACCTAAATTACGTACATACAACAATTATTATGTTGTAATATTATATGATTTTATTTATAATACAAATAAATATTTAAATAAAAATTCTATTACTTCTCAAAATAACAAGAATATTATATAAATGTCATTAATTATTTATATACATTTCTTTATCCAATTCATTCTTATTCTTAATTGAATATCATTTTATATTTTTGTTTATTCATCATCAATATGCGTTATAATTATTAGGATCTAATAATTTATAGCATTATATTTATCATTTTATTTGGATATTCATTTAAGGGTATTCATTATAGGCCTCTTTCAACCTTTTCCTCTCATCTCTATCTTTAGCCACTCTCGTCCAAGTAAGCCCAGCCATGTCAATTTAAGTCTTCCCCGTAGTCTTTTTGGCTTTTGCTACTAACATTACTAATAATAGTCTATTGACGTACTGTTACTCCATATTATAGCATAATATTATACATATATACAGTATAATAAAATTAAATTTTTTAGTGAGTAACAAATTTTTTATGATAATGAATGAGTAGTATTGGTAGCTATTTTATTAATATTTTGTTTCTTCAGTAATCCTGAAGACTGCACTATTTTTTTAATGGCTTAAAATAGCATGGTGTACCAGTCTACTCTATTTGTATACTCTAGCGAAGTATCAGTGAAGGATGATAGGATAACATAAAGTCAGGTCAGTTGGCCCGTCGTGACAATTCACCAGGAATATAACTATAATAGGCAAGGAAAATGACTCTCAGAATATTGATTAATTAATAAATTATAAGAAAAGTACAGGCAAAGTATAATAAAAAACCACAATGGTTCAAGTGGGGCCGAATAGAAGTTGACATGGTCTTTCCAAATGACAGCTAACATGTACGAATATGCAAGTGTTGTACATAATACAGCTGTTTGCTACGAACCCGTTGTAGACAGTATATCTATATAGTTAAAGTTTAATGAAGTAAAGAATAATAATATATATATACTAGCTGTGCCGCGGTTTCACCCGCGAGAAATTTTTAGCCTATTTGTTATTCTTTACAGTAATATAACCTATTTATATATAAGCTATATTACTTTAAAGTTTCAACAAAATCCGTTTAGTTTCTGCGTGAAAGGGCAAAAAACATCCATCCATACTCACGAACTTTCGCACTTATAATTAACTAGCTACTCGTCGCGGCTTTGCCCGGGTGTACATGTATTATACATATAAACTTTCCTCTTGAATCACTCTATCTATTAAAAAAACCGCGTCAAAATCCGTTGCGTAGTTTTAAAGATTTAAGCATATATAGGGACAGACAGCGACAGCGACTTTGTTTTATACTATGTAATGATAATATTATTTTTCTTTATTTTATTAAACTTTAAATTCTATCTAATATATAAACTATTATATATATACATTCAAGATGACCGGTGTGGAAAATATCGTGATTTTACAGCGCACAATGTGTCCATGTGGGCCGGTAATGGCTGCGTCGGCGCAACAATGGAACTGTAAAGTGCGAACGTCGTTTACTGCGCCTGCGGTTTGGAAATTAAAATCAGACTTGTCTTGATCCGTCGTGAAAGCGGCAACATTTTCAAATGAGCTTTTTGTTTTTTTTTCTAGTAATGTGTTATTTTTAGTTTTATGATGATAGTAGCGAGCTGTTCTTGCATTACCCGGGTTTATAGTATATTTCAGAAGAGTCTTACAATTAAATTCATATATTATTATACTATATGGTACCATATAAACTCCAAGAAACAATCTCCAAATGATAGTGATACCCGTATTAAAATGCGTTACGTCACAAGCAGAGAAATAGTTAGTCAGGATGATGAAAATAGACATTTTTTAATAATCTTTAGAGAAGTTTTGCATTTTGAAAGAATATTATTTCAATGAGTCCATAATATGTGATAGATTTAGTAGGCCACTGAAATCTTTATAATTTATTGTATTTGAAATTGTGTATTTGGAAACTTTACAAGAAGAAATTCAAACATTATATTATTTCTTGCAATTATGACTTATAATAATATAGTGGATATAAATAATATGAAGCAAAAGTTCGTCTCTGAAAGGGATGAGAAAATTATTGTCGATCTTCAATCCCAATTCCTTCGAAAAATTTACTTCATAATAATTATATCGGAATTTAGAACTATCCATTACCATTTTTTTACAACATTTATTATATGATGTTCATTCTACGAGTAAATTTGCTCTATGGCATATAAATTGATAACAAATCGTCATTTAATTCAGTGACACGAACGTCACAAATGCAAGTTTCCACGTTCGTGATTTAGAAACTTCGCTCCCTCACCGCAAATGATTATTTTGTTTATTGCCTTACAGAAAGGGGAAAAGGGGGTATAGTATAGCGAACGAGACCTTAATCGAGGCACCGTTTAGTTTTCTTTTGCTCCTTTAGACTTGTAGTCATTTTGACTGCTTATTTGGGTCTCTATTGTAAAACCGGACACCGAATTTACTTGTATTTTTATATATAATAATACTTAGCTGAATACTGCACTATTATTCTATTTCAATGGATAGAAAGGAATACAAATTTTAATTTGATCCTAAAAGTTTATATTGCTTGACTAGTTATTATGTTTTTAATTCCTTGTGTAATTATTTTTACTTTCATTATTATATGTACATACATATATATATATATATACATATAATCATTTATATCGTATAGAGAATTTTAAAATAATGGACGGGAAAAGGTTTCATATTATAATAACTAAGTAATAAGAATATTCCTTTTCCTATTACCATTAAATTGGTCCACAAGTTAGTTCAAGGTCAAATTATTTATAAGTTAGCCCATTGTGGCAAATTCGCCAAGAATTTATCCAGGGGGAACCGCGTACACGTCATTTTGGGATGGTATATTGCTAGCATTGGGGTTATTAGTCCATATTACTAATAATGTGATTGCCCCCAGGTTACATTATTCAAGTTTTATCAGGAATCTCTATTTTTTTCTAACAACAATTATAGCCTATGTTACTTAGGGTTAAGGTCCTATTCTAATAGTGAAAGATTTTTTAAATCTGTCTACAAGTTTTTAGGTTTGTTCGTTACAGACATACAGAAATACATATCTGCCTCTTTATAATATTAATGTAGGTAATAGTATGTATGTAATATATTATCTGTGGTAATAGTAAATTATGTAACCATCGGATAAAAATATAAACAGGTAATTCATATCTCATTATGAGATACTGATTCACTGACCTACAACTCAGTCTTGATATTAAAAAAACTCAATAATGCCACTCAATTAAATGTCAGTCATGTTATAATGACTCACACACATTTCCCAATAGATACGTCGTATCTAAGGCTATTTTCGTGCGCGTAAATACATGGTGATTTCCTAATTGGTATCTCTGCATAGTACGAATCTATTTTTGACGCAGTATTCTTTAGTGACGATACATCATATCGTGATGATTTGTTTAAGGAAAATGTTTGATCCATTTTTATTTATAGCGTTTAGGATTATATTTTACGATAAAACAAAAATGTATTTCCAAATAACTAATAACATGTCAGTTTCGTCATTAGTAATCTGTGTTGTTTATTATAGCCATCATTATACGTTCGCGATGGTTTGGTGGCTTAGCTCCGATGGTAGTGGGTTCAATTCTCACATGATACAAACATTTGTAACAATGAGTATGATTGTTTATAATCATCAGGGTGTTTTTACACATGCATGACGGCCTCGGTGGTGTTAGACCACAACGCCTTACTTTTGATGGCCACGGGTTTGATTCCTAGCATGATACAAACATCATGAGTGTGATTGTTTGTATGAGTCTGGGTCGCATTTACATAAAAAAGTAGGTAAGGTAATTCGACGTGACTCGGCAAACGCCATTTTGCCATATAAATTAATCAGTTATCTACCGTTGAGAGTAGAAAATTATTACAGTACTAAAATCGGTATTGAAGAATAAGGGGTGAATAGGGTAGAAGGGTAAAAATTTAGAGTTTAAAAAGAGGTATCTCGAGTAACACTTAGTGGACGATACCTCTACTATAACATTTTCAGAATAAAATGTCATGATGCTATCAGTGCGGCGATATCACGGTCCATTATTGTTAGTAATAATTGGATATTCTAGCGCTATAACGCTAAACGACTATGGCACACTGAGAGTTAGAATAGACTAGGATACATGGTTGAATGAAACTCAATGAAGTCTTCGTGATACAATGTATCCTCATAAGAAATAAAGATAGATACTAATACGAAGACTAAAGACTATTATTTAACTCAAAAAATAATCGTACATTAGTTGTACTCTGTAAGTTGGAGAAAGCGATTGTTAGTAATGTGGCCTAATATGATATGTAGTATATATGTAGCCCATTACCAATAATGTACTGTATCATTTTGACCTACACGCGGCTCCCCTGAGTAACCATCGTGGTAAATTGCCATTTGCCTAGATGAGCTAACTGATCTGACTTCTAGCTATGTAAATGTATGCATTTTATCATTCTCCACTGGCGTCTGCCTGCCAGCGTAGACTGTTGGCACAGGTGATTTTATTATTCCATTATATATTATATAAAAGAAGTACTCAATCGAAAGGATAGAGATAATTTATTACTGCTCTACATATTTTCAGTAACTACAGAAAACTCACCTCTGCCACTTCTCCCGACGAATCTCAAATCGTTAAATTTAGCAACTCCATTCTTCATTACTGTTGAATTATTTCTCAGCTCAGCGCAACAATTCTCATCGTTGCCAGCTCTGACGGTGACCAATGTACCGTCGACCACGTCTCCCAACGCCACCACCTTGAACCCGCCAGGTAGAGTCTTGTTCGATCGCCAGTGTTGTGGCAACATTGAGCACATGTAGTCAGGACAGCCAGTTGGTACTGTAATAATAAAATATATCCTAAATTCTAATTATTTTAACCTTTGTTTCATGCATTTTAGCATGGGGAAGAAATAGTTTTTTTTATTGGGTTCTTTGGACTTTGGACCATCAGGTGCATGGACCTGTGGCACTGTGACCTACACAGATCCATTGTGCTCGCCCCTTTCAAAGTTCGCTAGCCCCGTCAGGGACAAGAATTGAAGGATATTCTTAGGAGCGATGGTTTTTATCTCCTCAGGAAAGAGTGTAAACTTTCCTTTCCGAATAAAACAGTTTATATTTTAGCGATTTTAATTTTAGAAATTTGACTGGACTTCTCGGTCTCAATAATTGTAGTTTAAATTACAATAAAATATGTAATTCAGTAAAAAGATACATGTATCTTTGTTTATAAATTAACGTAGGTATAATATTTGTGTTACTAGTAACTGGGAGTAATAACAGGTTAATCATAAAATGAGGAAATTGTTGTAATTATTCATTATAAACAATGGTTTCACCAGCGGGTAAAGTAAATGGCGACATATTTGTTAGATAAAATATGTACACGTGTATTGAGATTTTTGGTGTTTAGGTGAAATTATTTTTCACAAACAAATAGGTTTGTAGGTACAATCAGTATTACTAGCTGTTACCCGTGAATGTGTCTGCATCTTTTTAGATAAATTATTGTGTTAATTATCCTAATACAATACATATTCACGACTTTCATTAATATCCGTTCAGCTGTTTAGTTGTGGAAAGGTACAAGCAGACAATTATACATTTTCCTTTATACTATTGCTGTGGATAGTTTGTCTGATAACTAGCTTATTTATATCTCCACCCTAAACTGTACCTGCTGAGGACTGCTTTGCTTGAGGACCTGCAGTGTGCTTCGGTTTTATTAGTCATAAGAATAATGGACACATGTATGAGTCTACTTTACATTATAAGATGCTGATTAGACTGGAATTCGTTACTACTTGTTTCAGTTCTCTTGAGTGTTAGTTTGTATTTTGATCCTAATTTCTTAAATGGCTCGTAGACCTCCGAGAACCAGAGTAGCTTAACAAATTAGGTGCTAATTACGAACTAACAGAAATGAGTAAAGATGTGGTCACACCTACACGATTTTTTTTAAATCACCGTGTAACGGACTCGGTGACAGTAAAAAACATTAATAGTGTAACCGTGGTTTCTCTATTTACGGAAGCTGAGGCTGTATACAAATTATAGAGCCACAGACCGCGGGTTAGGTGTGCGGTCAGGCCGCGATAAAGGGTTACCAAAGGCGTGTGGAGTGACGCGGAGAGTTGTACAGACGTTTCTTGTAATATGGTTTCAATAGTTTAGCGGTTGAACACACCGCTTTTCTTACGATCAATGCGGGTACGATTCGGTTTGTATTGGTCTGGGTATTTTCTATATATTGTGTTTGTATTTACAAAAAGAAGGTATTTAAGTATTTGTATCATCTGTCAGATACCCATTAAAGAAGCTCTGCTTAACTTGAAACTACCTGGTGCTGTCAATCAATGCTGATATCAGCATTGATTTTAACATATTTATATTCTTAAGCTTATATTCCTTAACTGATCTAATATTAATCAACCCTCTTAACTGATCTTACTCTTCTCCTATTATAAATATTATGTTCCTGTCATCCTCCTTTGTCCATCCATGTTCATGTGTTCATAAATAAGAAGTAAATACCTATACATTATTTATAATATAGGTACATATTAGAAATTATTTTAATATAATGTATAAATGAAATAACCAAAATCATTATAATAACATTGTAATGTTATTGTTTGATACCAACCCACCATATTACTGAATATATTGGTGTACCAATATATTCAGTAATATGGTGGGTTGGTATCCAATAAAGTTGATCAGCAATGCAGTAGTGAATAAACATATAAAGTAATTTTATTGAATAAACCCAAACTCATTAGGGCACATTAAATGAGATCATTACAGTGAGTGCTTCACATTGGTGTGTAGTCACCCTAACATACAAATTCTGGCTACAACCTAATTGGTTTATTTTACGCGAGTTGATATCAAACATTGTGATGTTTTAATTTAGAAACTTTCCGTCGTGAAACCGTTTAAAACTGAAAACATTTTAGCAAATTATGATCGCTAATTGTAATTAAATTTTTTTAGACAACCGCTTTTTTTTTAATTATGTATAAAAGTTGTGTAGTCAAACTGCATTTGAATTTATGGCATTTGTTAATAAACTGTTTATTACTAATACTAATTAATGTTACTAACATTCAATTGCTTCAAGTCTCTATTTATGACTCTAAAATTGGAATCGTAAATGGCACTTTTGGAAATACGAACGGGATTGGTCAATATCCGTATTCAAATAAGTATGCAAAAACAATGCAATTTGATCTTAATACCGATGTAACATACAGAAATTAACTCTTTAGTGATTATGTTTATGTATTATCATATTTACAACTTTAATATAAATAACAGATTTCAAACAGGAGATATTACATATTAGTTTTTAATTATTATCATTATAATTATAGTTTTGTTATTGAACGTATACTCCTAAGGTAAACTTTTAAATAAACAGTTTTTCTATAAAGTTAAAAACTGTAACATATCTAAGTTATATAAGTGAAATATGTGCATATGCAGGTATAGTAAATACATAGGTATCCATAAAATCTAAATAGATATATAAATGTTCCCCGTATACTGCGTTGAAGTCTTTTGTTGGCGTGTGATTTAATCTCTAAAAAATAAAGAAATGTTTTTATTTATTCTAATGTTTGTATGTTGCCAATAAGTATAATTACTGTAGCTTAACTAATAATTTTATTATTGTATTATTTCTATTCTAAATTAATGTATTACATTTCCTCTAAATTAATGAAAATCATATTTAGACCATCAATGTTATAAATGTACATTTAGCATTTTTTTGGACAGTTATTTGTTATGTATATTTTACTAATTATGACTTAATTCGTAACAGTATTACGTTATCCAGTTTAGATTACAGTTAAAACGTATACAGAAGACTAGATATTATTTTCAAGTTTGAGTTCTCTTACAGTTGTTTGCTTCCTGAGTAGTAAAGTCAGATTGAAAAAAGCAAACCATGTATATAAATCTCCTTTTTAATCTAGCTATGTGTGTGTGTAAAGCGTTCACTGTATATATAGCACCTATATCTGTTCAGCAGACAGATAGATATACATTGGAAATTTTAATATTAGTACACATATAAAAAATATCATATCTTTATAACCTATGCATATTAGATTTTTAAATTGATATATTGCAATTTGTTTTCTTTTGCCCACATGTTGTTAAAACTTCGAATACGTCACGTTATATTTTCGGTTATCACTGTTACATTCCGAGACTTCCTCTATTTTAATAGACACGACTACAATTTATAGCTCAAGGATACGCACTACTAAATGAAATGAAAACGAAACTACTACTGAACTGTTTAAAATATTACTTACATAAATATTCTTCTAATTTAGTGATTTCTTGTGATTGCAATAAACTATAATACATGCTATATATAAATGCACTGCTGTCTGTTGTCTGTTATATTTTTAAAACAAACGATTGGATCTTAATTTATAACTTGATGTTATATTCTGTCACAAGTATGAACATAGGCGATATATAAATAATGAAATAGGGACATAATCGTGGCTCTATAACACAGTGGCACCTAGGCCTTAATTATTTTAATACTATATGAAAACCTGGCTTCGCTCGGGTAGATATTTCTGTAGTCATCGGTTCTCAAAGAATATTAAAGGTAAGCAAGGCATAGATTCGTAAAGCTTCGTTCATTGTGTTTAATAAATACTACTATACTATAGTAAATAATAAGTGCAAAAGTATTTATACAAATAATTTTTATTTTAAATCAACATTCAAAATAAATTAACAAAACGTATAACTTTTAAGGTTTATTCTCTGTTAACCTCTTTGTTTTAAGCACTCTCTACTTTGCCATATATTAAAAACTAATTGCTTCATCTAAATATCTTTCCCATTTTTGATCGTCATTTACATTCTTTTTTTTATTTAGTCCGCGCGACTCTCCGGGATTTGCCGAGTTCCTAGTTTTGTCGCTCCTTCAGTACGACGACGTGGTCCACTACCGTCCTTTTCCCCGTCTTCCCCTTTTTCCTATCCATTTCCTCTTCCTTTCAAATTCCCTCTCGCCCCGCGTTAGTCATTTGCTATGCCCCACTCTGGGGTCGAGCCCCCATAAACATGCGGGGCGCGGGGCGACAGGGACATCAATTCCGTACAAATAGTAATTTTTACAGTATTAATCTACAAACCAACATTTTTTTTTCTTTCAATCGGCTAAATAATATATGACACTATGGAAAAGTCATTTGTTTTATAAAAAAGGCAGTTATTCTTTATTTTAGTGAAAAATAGCAAAATCTATTTTGATACAACAACTTTATTATATATACTTTTTTAATTTTGTGTTAATGCTTTTTAAATAAAGACCCACACATTATATCCATATAACCTATAAAAATGGGTAAATAACATTAATTTCCAATAGTGCAACAACCTTATTTAAAAAATGCAAATACTTGGCATTATGTGTGTAATAATAAAATGTGAAGAAATTGTGATTGTTATTAAGTTTTTTTTAATAAGTTCATCATTTATTTGACATTGGACATTGATTTTAATTTTTGTAATTTATATTGTAAAACTTTAAGTTGGGCTAAAAAGGACTTATATTCAGAGCCGTGAAACAAATTAATAAAAAAAATATTGTCAAATTTGTCTCGCAATTAGCCAATTTAAAAAAACACATACTTAGCTGTAAATGTTTGTTGTGTGCTGTGAAAAGAAGTGTCAAAAACTATATTTTCGCGAAACGCCAACGACGTAACGTAGTAACATGAAAAGATGGCGACTGCAGTTTGTTTGTCAGTGTTATTAGAATTTAACGAAATACTCCATAATCCGAATTTTGCGGATATATGTTGTCGACTCGAAATAAATATTTTTTTATGTTTTGTTATTCACATAAGGTTTCGTTCGAGTCTACCGTACCCCTTGACGGAATTATTAATATAGATGTGTTGAGATGTGAGGGACAAACAATTCTTATATGAAGCCAACTAATCCACATTCACACCTAGTTTATGCATTATTTGTGGGTTGCAATTGAGAACGGTTCAACTTAGCTTGTAATTGCTACTCTCAAATGCTTCATAGATAATCGCAAACCCATCAATTTTGTTATTAATAACATAGATACACAATTAAGGCACTGGTCATAAGTTAAGCAAATATTATATTATATTTTTTCTTATATTAGCAGCTTACGAAATACATTTGGAAATAATTTTCCTTTGAAGCAAAATGACTATATCTTATTAATAAATGTGACCGATTTGATAGTTGTAGATGCAAGTAAGGGTCTGTTTAGTTTGAGACTAGATGGCGATGTTTGATTGGCGAGGTATATGTATATTAGTCTGTAAAGTATGTATCATAGGAGCCATGACGTTAACTGAAATAAATAAAAAATCTAAACTTTGTTCTTCTATTATTAAGATAGTATGTTTATACATTAGTACAAGCCGAAGCCGCGACTTTGTAGCGTACAACTTCATTGTTTGTGAACCGATAGAAATAATATATCAAAATAAAATAATTTCAGCGAAGCTTACTGAAATACGTTAATGCAAAACTAAACGAACGCAAATCGGTTAACCAGTTTCTGAAATTAGCGCTCACAAACATATAAACATAAATTCTAATTGTTTTGGAACTTGTACTATTTAGGATAAATTCTCCTTAATAATAGTTTGTCTCTAATATCTGTATTATATCAGTTACCTTCTTGTTATATGTAGGTATTATATAGTACATACGGTATTGGAAAATTTTATCTTTTTTGTCAAATTAGTTCTATTATTCACCACAGTAATGTTTTGTTAATCATCAAGTATTATTAAATCAAATCTAATATCTTCTATATGATATAAATATGTATGTATGTAGTCGTTCCCTAAAGTTTAATATATATAACAAAACTCTTGTACGTACGTTAATTTATTATATGTAGGATTAAGATCTTGAAGTTTTCTTTGCTATTTATATAAGTATAAATACCAAAGAAAACTTAACACATGCGTTAAGATATATGAATAGAATTTGGTTTAGTAAAGATTTGCTATTTTAGAGAATAAAAATGAAGATATATGTAGTTACCGAAAAGACACTTCTAGAGTGACGGAGGAAAATAAAACATGTAAATAATAATGATATTGTATACATATATATATCCGATCCCTTATTTCATGAACATGTAAAATCTTATTCGAAAATATTTAAAAAGGTTTGTCATACAGCTAAGTCTCTCTATTTAGGTAAAATAATAACTAAATCTAAAGATAAAATAAAAGCCACTTGGAAAGTAATAAATAGCGAAACTGGAAAAGTTAATTTTCAAAATAGTAAAATAGCTTTAAATATTAATAACAAATTGGTAAATTCCGACACAGAGGTCGCGGATACATTCGAATCTTATTTCACTAATATTCCATTAATTACGACACAGGCTCTAAAATCTTCCCCGTCTGCTGCTGAAACTTTACTAACAGACAATGTTAGCAAGTCATCAGCTGTATTTAACTTTAGACATACATCATCAGTAGAAATAATATATTCAAACAGCTTAATAATAAAAAAACAGAGGATCTATGGGGTATATCTGTTAAAATACTAGATAGTATAATGGAAATTATTGCGCCCTCTCTTGCTTTTATTTTCAATAAATGTATAGATGAAGGTAAATTTCCTAACATAATGAAAATTAGCAAAATCATACCGCTTTTTAAATCTGGAGATAAGAGTGACCCAATAAATTATAGACCTATATCTATACTCCCAGCACTCAGTAAAAATTTTTAAAAAATAATCCTTATGCAGCTTGTCAGTTATTTCAATTTAAATAATTTAATCCACAATAGTCAATTCGGTTTTTCCAAAGGTCGTTCAACTACAGACGCAGGTGCAGAGTTGCTTAGACACGTATTTGCTGCATGGGAAACTAAAATGGATGCGATAGGTGTTTTTTGTGACCTTTCTAAGGCTTTTGATTGCGTTGATCATAATACATTGCTAAAAAAACTTGCTTTTTATGGCGTCAAAGACAATGCTTTAAATTTAATAAAATCTTATCTATCTGATAGAATACAGAAAGTGAAGGTTAGCAACGCTACGTCTGACGGGTCACTTGTGCAAATGGGTGTACCTCAAGGATCTATTCTCGGTCCATTTTTATTCCTAGTTTACATTAATGATCTCCCATATGCCATGCAGGATAGATGCGGCATAGTATTATTTGCAGACGATACTTCATTGATTTTTAAAGTTAATAGAATGACTAATAATTATGACGATGTAAATAGTGCTTTGCGGCGTCTCCTGCACTGGTTTACAACTAACAATCTTATGTTAAACGCTAAAAAAACAAAATGTGTTAATTTCTCTCTGTTTAAAAGTTTTAATACTAATTGCAATATTAAATTAAATGACGAATCTCTGGAATTTATAGAATCTACTGTCTTTCTAGGAATCACACTAGATAATAAAACACAATGGGGTGCACAAATTCAAAGCCTTGCAGCGAAACTAAGTTCAGCAGCTTTTGCCGTGCGTAAGGTTAGACAGTACACTGATACTGATACTGCTAGATTAGTCTATTTTAGTTATTTTCATAGTTTACTCTCTTATGGAATATTACTATGGGGAAAAGCGGCAGATATTAAAAATATATTCATATTACAAAAACGTGCCGTTCGAGCGATCTACTGTATGAAGAGTCGTGACTCATTAAGAGAGAAATTCAAAGAGGCAAATATTCTCACCGTTGCTTCTCAATTTATATATTCAAATATCCTATATGTTCATAAAAATCTTGACTTATTTCCAAAAAACAGCAATATTCATAATATTAATACAAGATTTAAAGACAAACTTGCTGTCCCCAAGTATCGTTTAGAAAAAGTTAATAGGTCTTTTAAGGGAATAGGTATAAAAATTTACAATAAGATACCAAAGGATATGTTGGAATTACCCTTAAATAAATTCAAAACATCTGTTAAATCATATTTACTGAGCAAAGCCTATTACTCACTAAACGATTACTTGAATGACGAGTGTGCATGGCAATAGTTGTTCATGCACTGAATTTTCATTTAATGTTAGACATAGACACCTATATAAATATACATTGTAAATAAACTGGCTTTAAAAAAAAAGTAATTCAATTGAGTTTCTTGCCAGTTCTTCTCAATTAGATCTATATACCGAACTGGACGGTAGGGAAAAAAATAAAATTATAATGTAAAAATTTGACGTTCATAAGCGGCTAAAATGTCCTACATGAATAAATGATTTTTGAATTTGAATTGAATTTGAATTTACATACAATTATCAAAAGAACTACTTAATTATAATTCTATCTTATTAAAGAACCGTTCCAATTTATATAGAGCATTGAATTATGTAGTTATATTGATACTTTATTTTCTATGTTAGTATCACAGTAGTCTAAACCTGCGATCTCTTTCACAAGAAGTCGTCTGCTAACTACATCGCCACCGAGGTCATAAAGCAATTTATAATGTTATAAGAATCAGAATATCGGATTTTTATTTATAGACATATAGTTACACGTTATACAGATACATACCAAGATCTGGATGTTCAGCTCTAGTGTTTTCAATGATAGTCTGCATCCAACAAGGCTCCAGGTCCGCCATCTCGCGGCGCCGTCGGCTCCGCGACTCATACGGCAGGTGCATCCTTACACCATCACACGCTACTCCACTACTGCTAACTACCACTGCTGGCGTCACTCACACGTCGATGGAAACCTCACTACGTAAAACTATCGCTTTCCCACACACCAAGGTCGCCTGGGTAAGATTCTGGTGGCGTTAGCGGCGCTATCGAAACTTACTACTATGTTTTATTGACTGATGACTAATTGATCGTTTGTTTTAAGAGCTCATTATTGGCAGTCTTCCAGTAACAATCACTTCGCGTCTCCTGCTGCGTTCAAAGTTGAAGTATCCGAGTATTACTTTTGTTGACAAAATTAGGTGGATTTTCTTTGGATATAAAATTTGTTTCAGCTCAGTCTCTTCGATAGTAAAAATAGTCCGTTTGTATTTTTATACTACCTATATATTAGTCTTCAATCTTCTTTTTGTAATACTAACTTATTCACTTAACTGTTAAGTACACATGCATAATATAATGTCCTTGTGTACACAGTAATCGCGTCTATTTATATAATAAAATTCTTTCCTCGACCCGGCGCACTACTTCGTAACAGACCTTGGAGATTTCTGTTTCAACTTAACTTTCGTCATTTTAGGTGACTCACGAAGGTAGAGTTTAGCGTTAAAGCATATAAATTCTGGCCAAGCATTCGGATTAATGGTTCCGGTCGTTATTCTCAGAAGCTCGTTCTAAGTTATGTGATGATGGTGCGCACGCTGTCAACATCAGCTGAGCGTTAATTTATTCAAGAGATTTCCCGCGCGTGTTGCGTCAACGCCGCGGCGCCGGTTTCTTGATCGTGTTGACTGTAGTGTAGTGGCCGGCGTAAGTCCCCGTGTCCGCGTCCGTCACAGGTATTACCGCGTGTTGACCAACGCGCCGCGGTGAGTCAACGTGCGTAGCGCGTTATTCGACGGAGGCTGCGCGCGTGTACACTGTTCGCGCGACTCTCTACTACTGAATCGCCGCCATTCTGTCACTCGCTGCCTCCATTCTCTGCGGTTAATCTGCGGTTTGGCCATGCTTCATTTGTTGGGAAAATGCGCGTCATCCACCTCCTGCTCGCACTCGTTACTATTATATACTGGACGAGCGAGACGCACGCAAGTTTTGTGTCATTAAATATATTTTTGTTTAGTTCCATTGTTGAAAGGGAAATATTATGAGCTTTTTCATTGTAAAGCGTAGTTGCATATCTCGTTCTTTTAGGGTGTTGCGGTCGTTGTCGAGAGAGATGCCTATAAATTGCGGGTTTCCTGATTTTCTCGTGGTTAGAGACAAAGTTCTCAGACTTAGTGTATTCTTAATAATCCAATCTATACCGTATAAAATATTAAGTAGAAAAAATATAAAACAATATAAATAATGTTCACTACGTACACACGTAACAAATTTCGACGAATTAGATTAGATTCTAGTATAACTTGGTGTCTAATTAGACTTCTCCATTGAACAATCATTTTAAAGCAATCAGTAAATAATACCAATAAACCCGTTTTCAAAAATTTTAGTTTGATAAAGTTTCAAAGTCTGATAAACGTTAACTTTTCAAAGACACTTATCAAATCCAAATGTATTAAATAAAAGCTAAGAATAAAGATTTTACCACTTAATTAGGGGTGTTTTTTTTAAGAATCTTTTACCAGTTATGACCTTTTGTAACATTTTATAAGTAACGTTTTAAGTTAAGACGAGTGGGCGTGTGCTTAGCTGGGCGGGGCGGCCCCGCCTACGTCGCGAAGACGGCGCGGAAAAATGACATAAGCACTTGCACTCCGTCGCCGCGACACCGCACCGCAACCATTCCGCTGGTCGACGCGTCCGCATGTGTCAGCGACACTTGTTGCGTTAATGATAAATACTCCTTACTGAAATGCATTTACGAATTCAGTAAGGAGTAACATCACATGGTATACTTCTAGTGTAATAAATAGATAATCAAATAAATAACGTAAATGTAAATTTACAGAAATCAATTTATCTAATTTTAATTGATAGTGATAGTGAGTTCTACTTAGCGAACAATCCTCGCATATGAGTACCGGGTATATGATGACGTGATATCCGGGATGTTATTAATATATATACATATATATAGATGACTGTGCTACTCACAATCAGGTGGGAGTCTTATTAGTTGCCATTCCAGGTGGATATAAAAATACATTATTAGCATTAGGGTCAATAGCGAAAATACTAAAGACAGCGAATGGAAAATTCATTGCTAATAATAATTTCCTATATCCTACGTATTGGGTAACATAACCTAAATATCTACACAAGCAACTGGAGGAACTGAGCGATACGATAACCGCAATATTGTAAATTTTTCCGGTAGAACGCAGAAGTGAGACCGCAGCCGCACTATCTTTAGTCGCGATATCTGTCCCGTATCACCACAACAAAGATAGTTAAACGACAACAATAATTATACGACATCTATTGTTTTATGGATAATTGATTCATCTCTTTAAAGAATATTTTTCTGTGCTTTCTTTAACATATATGTTGACATATAGGCGACAATGTCACACTAGTCCGTTCAGCCGTTTTTACGCGAAGCTTTAAAACACAAGCAGATAGTATACGCCTCATAATAAATTTATAACCTTGTTATAAATAATACAAATGAAGTATTCGTTACTAATAATAGCCGTCTATAAATATTAACTATTATGACATAAATATATACACAGCTGGAGGAACTGAGTGATACAATAACCGCAATGCTGTCAATTTTTGCGGTAGAGCGCAGAAGTGAGATCGTAGCCGCACATCTTTAGTCATGATATCTGTTCCATATCACACAAAAAGATTAGGTGTAAGATCAGCGACATAATTATGCTCATTATTATATATGATTGTCATAATTTTTCAGTGTATTATTATTATTAATCTTCTAATCACAATACACCGAATAACATTGTTTACCCAGAGATGAGGAAATCTCAAGTAAGCATGGCAAGTACCTCTGACAACCTTATCTGGGTTAACAGTGTGTTCATGTAGGTAGTATACATAAATTGATTTATATTAAAATGAAGTTAATATTAAAATTATATTATATTTATTTAGGTAACTCATATATTTGGAAATCAGTTAATTATTTAATTATATAGTAATTATTTAATTAATTGAAGGGTTAGCTTTTGTTAAAAAAAAGTAGGTACCTACATTTTAAGACTACAAAATTTTTTAATAATTAATTAAATGCCATACTTGTTCTATAAGCAAAAACAAAACACAATTAAAATAATCAAAAAAATGTCCATATCATGTTTATCTATAGTAATTAAGAAAATAGTACTTATCACCCACAGAAGCTCTGCTATGTTTGGAACTATATGACATAGTTTTATTTAATTGAAAAGATTTGTTATACAATGGTGCTAAGTTAATGGTGCTTTAGTAGATACAGTGACTAGTTAAAACTTGTAACCATATTCGTGTCACAGCGTGTCACACAATATGTGACGTGACAACAGGCCCGCCCACAACTGTAATCGTCTGCGGCGCTTAACTACCGTGATTGTTTATAAACAGACATCTATGCATATATTAGGTGCACAGGTCTATACAGCTATCGTTCGATATGGAGACTGTATACTAGCGAAAAGTCGCTGTAATTTTTATTTATGATATTGGAATAGTATGTCTATTCAAAGATGACTAATAATAACAATAATAAAACTCTTTATGGTGCATAAAAAAAACAAATAATTACAAAAAAAGAACTTAATATAAAAATATTCTAACAACAGGCGACCTTCGCTCAAAGCAATCTTTTAATACTAGTGATTAGCAAACAGGTAGCTTGCCTAGGCCTAATCTAGAGGTCTACAATTATGAGGTCGAGGTTTACACTTTTCCTTTTTTTCAACTCACGACCTGAATCGAGTATGGGGTGTATCCTCATGATCGTCGTCAGTTAAACAACAAATATTTTCATCCAATTTTAATATACCAGTAGTCGCCCAGTATTCATTTAAATTCGACCATCATTAATTTAAATTATAATTTTGAATATTATTACTATTTTCTAAAATTATACTTCTTCGATTAAAGTGTAATTAAATATTTGGTATAGATAAATCTTATCTCTTCTATATACTAAACTATACACACAACATCAATCTTTAAGATTGTCTGTAAAAAATTGCTTATAGCGATAAGACCGCCGCGCCGTTTATTATTATTTTTTTATATACTGCAATTTTTACTGTATACTTGATGTACCAGCGACTTTGTCCGCGTGGAATTTAACTTTATTTTTTCTAAAATAAAAGTAATAAAGCCTAAGTTACTCCTTATTACATCAGCTATCTGCCAAAAAAAGTCCCATCAAAACGGTCCAGCCATTTCAGAGATTAACCGGAACAATCAGACAGACAGAGAAAAATTATAAAAAATGTTATTTTGGTGTGTGTACCGTATTTATATTCATATGCATGTAGTAAAAATGATTATTTCAGTATTACAAACAGACATTCCAATTTTATTTATATGTATAGATTTGCTGTACTCCCAATAAATAGTTATTATTCTTATTATTAAACTTTCAAAGGTTTTTAATGCTTGATGAATTTATGAGATTTGTATCACTTATGGAAGAAATGATAAAACATACTCCTATTGTGCGTAGTCACCCTAATATGACTACGACAGGTCATTAAGGCGACGGTCAATGGTCAGACGACAATGGAATATTGGTACTTACCCAATTTTGGGATAATTTGCATGTTAAATAATAATGGTTTCTAGTATGGAGAAACATATTAATCAATATAGAAGAGGTTGTATTATTTTTATATTTAGTAAAATGTTATCTAAAACCTTTTTTGTGAATTCCACTCCAAAAGTACATTTTCAACTTCTTTGTTTGTAAAAACAAAAGATTATTTCCTATAATCGCAGTAATATTTCAATTACTTTTCTTAATACATTAAGATAAGTACTCTCTTAATGTATTAAGAAAAATAATTTAAGAAGAAAGAATTTTTGGAAACCCAATTCCAAAACTTCTTTCTTACCTTCTTAATTTGTACACAGTGATATGAAATATGGTATAGGCTCTAAGTTAAAACCCTATCTTATTATAGATAGAGCTTCTGAAACTTAACCTATTACGACATATATCTATGCATGCACAAATAGTTAGAAAGTATTACAAATATTGAAATTCATAAAACATATTTAATGACACAATGTAGAATACAACTTAATCTGTATAGGTATATAGTATGACTCGTGTGTACTTATGTAGGTATTATATCTGGGGTTAACCATCAACACATTTCTAATATGAACATATATTATACCTATAAATAATGTATGTATGTTGAGTGACACGATGTTGTGTCACAATAAATTAATCACATGACACAAACAATTAATTTAACAGTACAATTTCGTAAGTTTGTATTGTGGTATTAGAGTAGAGTCTACTGGTATATCGTAATATGATTACGAATATATTCGGATATGTTTCGCAGTATTTTTTTTTGTTATAATAATATAATATACATTTTCGACTGTAATTTCTGATGTGATAGTTAGAGGTATTTGCCCAACTGAAGAGAAAACGCCACTACACATCTTATTTGGTTGTAGCCCACTTAGGCATAAACGGAATATCTCCTTTAGAAAGTTTATCTCTATCCTGAGGAAATAAAAACCATTGCTTCCGAGTTCCTATCCTTCAATTCTTGTCACTGAGGGTCTAGGTAGCGAACTCTGAAAAAGGGTGAGCACAATAGATCTATAGAGGTCGCAGGGCTACAGGTTCAATCATTGAACAATAGCCCAAACCCCCCAATAAAACAATAGTAAAAAAAATAGAGATATTGTTTACTTTCTACGTTGATACATGACAATGATTCAAACCAAACTTGTGACGTGGCATGGTTACATTTTTTTGAGAATATTTTTTAGAAAATAT